TTCCTGCAGAACTGGTTCATGTCTCTGTTGGCCAGCCCTTTGGCAAATGCCTGCCCTAGCAGAAGTGCCAAACCTTAAACCAAATTTGCCTATATTATCTTTTGTGAAAATGAGGCCAGTCAGAATTTTCGGCAGGTTGAGACAACAGATTGACCTTCAGAAAAGCAGTGGAATTGGGTTCTTGTAGAGAATCTAAAATCTTGAGTCTGAGGAAGTGGTCTCTTGGCTAACCTCTGCTTCTTGTGCACTTTTTATCTTTGTTCTGCTGAAGAAACCAACATACTTTGAACCAGTTTGAAACTTGAAGTCAGTGAGGAGAGGACCATCCCAGGTCTTTGCACCATTCTGTGTGGATTGGTACCTGGTGAGCAACAGCCCCTTCCTGCTTCAGCGTGCCAGGTAGCTCCTTCCCTCTCTGCCTGTCTCCCCTTCTCCTGGAGCTGGATTCTTTGGTCTCTTGTTGTTGCTTCCTAGCAATGTTGGCCTTGCGTTCAGTATGGTTTCTCTTCATGTGTTTTATTGGTTTAAAAAAAAAAAGTACTTCTGGAGTGTGCTGATCATTGTCTTGTACTGTACAGAGCCCAGGTTGTTAGAGTCCAGCAGAGATAAAGTGTGTTATGCAGCACCCAGTTTTTTAAGAGTATGGTTTGTGCCAATGCCCCTTCTTTAGTAGTGCCAGAGACTCTTTACAAGTGCCAATGTGGTGGAAATTATTTGGTTATACTTGTATATTATAGGATCCTGATTTAAGACAATTTAAACATTATCCTATTTAAAAAGATACTATATAAAATGCTGTTTTTAAACCTTGTCATTTGCAATGCATGTATTGTTGTGCGTGTTGGGGTGGGGGGGAGGGAAGAGGGTAGGGTAAAGGAGTTTCTGAATAAGATGCCCAGTGTCAGGATCTATTCAGGCTCCAAACTGTCTCATTCCTGTCCAGGAGTGTGATTGTTTCTTGGAATGATCCCACTCTGACTGCTGGGCAACAACCCTTATTACAGAAATATCTGATGGAAATGGATTTTCATATCTTTCTCCTGAAATAAATTCTCTGTTTGAAATTGGAATAAATTTTGTTCCTAAAAGCTCTGGTGGTCCTGCCTGCAATTCTTCACTCCTGTCCCTTGTCTACCTTTCTTGGCTGGCTTGTGGGACCTGCATCCAACTGAAGCACACTCTACCCTCACAGCCAGCAATGTACTCAGAAAATCAGGACTCTGAGGCAGAGAAACGAAGTGTGTTTTGGTAAATAAAAGGTGTAGTATGCAACAACTATATACAACATACTGTACTAGTAATTGTGAACTGAGGTGTGAAAAGTGGCTGACCAGGGGTTTAAGATGTAGGGTTGCAATGGTGGCACCTTGGCTTAAAATTTCACAGGATTTTGGAGTAGAATTGCGGGGTGAAGTTGTCAGTATTCACTGCTGCCTCATGCTGTAACGTCAGCCTGTTTCAGGCCCATTTCTTGCAGGGATATATGTTGCCAGTAGAAGAAATGTTCGTAGGAACAGACTTGCTTCCAGTCTGGTTTGTTAGCAACATGGGCTGAAATATAAAATGTTGCTTAAATTTGAACCTTGAGGAGTCCAGGGGTGGATAATTGTGAAACCTTTCACATAGGAATTTCCTGGGATAGAGTTCATAGAATTTAATTCTCCTTCCCTAGGATCATTCCCCAGGAATTTCAGATTAAATCGGGTGGGAGTGAGTAGGGATGTGTTAACTTCCTCTGTGCAAGATTTTCCTGTGTTTTCAGGAAGTTGCAACCAGGGATGTTTTGCTCCCTTTTGTGTCACTGAATGTCCAAGTGAAGTTGCAGGTGCTGACAGCTTGTGATGCTGCGTGTTGTCTTGAACCACACTTCAATCCTGTTGGCTATAATACCAACAGGTCTTTATGCCATTGCTATTTTTTTAATGTTTATTTTCTAATTGAGAGTGAATGTACATTGCTTTTCTCAGTACCTCCATTCTCACCAGCTGGAAAGCATGAAATAGTAGCTGATTGAGGTGTGTTTGGTTTGTAATTTATTTCCTTCAAGTCCATGTGGGTCATGTGTTGGGTCATTCTTTGCAAAGAGTATAATATGCTCCTGTTTAAAAAAAGCATAGTGGCAGATCCAGACTCTTCAAGGAAGAAGGTAAAGTCTTAAAACTAGTGCCTAGTATTCCCACCTGACTGTGAGAACCTTGTGTTTTGGCCTCTTTAGCCTCCAGCTGTCATACATGTGTGTGTGGCCTGTAGTTGCTGCAGGGGGGCAGTGCAGGCGATGTCTGAAGCAGGACAGCACGCTCAGTGTATGTGCAGGAGGTCAGGTCTTTGCCAGTCCTGGAGTGGCCCAGGGCAAGAGGCAACTGGGAGCAGCAGCCAATAGAAAAATTCACACAGCTTGCTCACAGTTGCTCTCTTTCCCAAGGGCCTCTCAAACACTGGCTGAGCAAACCACTCCCAGCAGGACCGCAAGCTCCAAGCCTGGGATGAGAGGCCCTTGGCTCCTTTGTCCTGTGCAGTAAGGACCCTGTCCTGCAAGAAGTCTTGGGAACCCCAGGAGTGACTGTGGCATGGAGCAGCCTGCTGCTGCTGGGAGAATTCCTTCCACCTGCAGCCTGCTCTCAAGGGACTCTTGGGAAGGAAGGGCAAGTCAGAACTACACTGTGGGCCAGGAAAGTTTTCTGGTAAGGTTTTAGTGCTGCAAATTACTTGAACTGGGCCATTATACATCACTGCCAACACCAGAGCAGGTCCTTGGGCTTGTGTACATAGGTGGGCCCAGACATTAAGGAAATAAATTTCCATCTTTTTCATATTGAAAAAATCCCTTGCAGAAGAAAAGGGCAAAGATGAGAGAATTTGGGGTTTGCCTTGTCCTTGGATAGCCTTGACCCTGAGATGGGCAAGGATGTGGCTCAGCAGGGGCTATAGATGCAGCCTGGGGCTCTTCTGCACTCCTGTTCAAGTGCTAGTTATTATTACCTGTTGTCACTGGCCACTCCTATGCACTGCTCCCAAAATTGCTTCTCCTTTCATCTCAGGTGTGTCTTTACAGCTCCTGGCCATGGAAATAAATGGTGTTTATATGAAGCAGCTGGAAGGCAGATCTCTCCTGCTGTGCTCCTTCCCAATGGCTCAGATCTTCAGTCTCTAACACTGCAAACAGCTGATGGCTTCAATGAATTTTTGCAAAGCAGAGGTGATGTAGAACGAGAACATCTTGGAATTCTGGAAAGTATTTGGCGGCATGATTAGAAAAGAAGTCTCAGCATGATGTCAGCTTTGCAACACTTGATTCAGAGCAGATTAGATGTTGTAAAGAACCCTGGGGGAAAGAGGTACCTTTGTCAGCTTGGCTACAAATTAACTTCCAAACTGCAATCCTATGCTTTGTTGAAAAAGGTTTTTTAGAGGTCAGTTGTTTTGGATCACTTCAGTTCAGACAGAATCTTGAGGAACGTGTGCTGTTGCTAACCCTAAGGGGGCACTGTGTGCATGTAAGAGCCAGAGGATGAATGTGCTCTTCTCGAGCAACATCCTCAGCCAGAGCAGAAGAGATTTTCTTTAGTTATAGCTTTTCTTAGTCAAGTGAATGACCTGGGGGGATTTAAGATGTTTTGGATTACTAGGTTTGAAAAGTACTTTGAATCTTAAAATCTTTGGTCTAATGTTTTCTATCTAGCGCTGCCAAAGATACTGTATGAGGTTGAACAAGTCACCTACAAAGGCAAACATAAAGAACAGCAAACACTCCCAAGAAGTACATTTTGAAAAATAAAACCCATTAGGGGTTTTCTTTTAATACAAAACCTTCACTCTGACTGCTGCTTTTCAACACCAGCCTCCATGGCTCAGTGCTTCTGCTGTGACCACATGTGCCCTGTTTCCTATCAGGGGAGGAGAAAGCTGTCATTCTGATCAACAGCAAAATCAGCAAAATACTGAGGGAGAAGAGATGAGTCTGCCAGGAGTTGAAATTGCTGCTTCTTGGTGAGCTGCACTGTGGGAAAGTTGCTGGTTTTCTGTGGAATGACAGTCAGCAGCATTGGATAGAGGAGAATTGAGAGGGGCCATGGCGTAGCACATGTGATAGAGGCAGTATGTCCCCTAGAGCACTGGCTGGAAGAACCTGAAGGGAGCACGTCTGACTGCATGTGAGAAGAGCCACTGGCTGATGAGTGCCAGAAATGCTGCTCTGGGTGCTCAGGGGGTTCTCCCACCTTCACCATTGCACAGCCCTGAGCAAGTCCGTGCCTCTGTTGCCTTCAGCTGTGTTTCTTGAGCATCTGCAGAGGGAGGAGCGAGGACTGATTCTGCTGCATGCATATATAGCACCTTGCACAGGAGGATCTTTGTCACTAGGGCACTCGGCCGCTAGTGAAATACACAGCACTGAGAGATCTCCCATTTTATGGGGTGCCAACGAGCTGATGCCTTTCACTCTTGTTTTCCAGGCACAAAAATCTTTTGAATATTTGGGTGTGTTTTCTTTCTTGACACAATGAAGTTAGTGTTGACTGTGGAGTTTGTGCCTCATTCTCACAATGGTATCACAAGCTACAGGGGCTTGTGGGGAGAGAAGGATGGCAATGTGGTTAAAGCATAGGGACAGTAGTACTGCCAGTTCAATTTCCTTTAGGGCTGCAGATTGACTTTAGTCTTTTGTGGACTGGCAGAGATCTGAGATGAGATGGTGTACTGCAGTAGTGCCTTACAGCCTAGGTATGAGACCTCCCTGTACGAGGTCTGTTGTCATCTTGCTTACAGTGAGGGTCAGTGTTCTGCCTGTCCATGTTGTCTGTGGCTTGAACCAGGACAAAAGCCTTTGCTTCTGAGCCAGTTGGTGCAGCTGACTTGTGTTCAAGCTTCCTGAGGATATCACCTTCTGGAGTGGACTGGTTGTATCCACATGGCAGAGCAAGTGGTCTAGATCTTTTCTGCACCCTGTGTTATGTGTGGTCAGAAAACACACAGGGCACTGACTTTGGTAATTTTTTTTTTCTTCTGTAGAAATCAGCAAGAAAGAATGAAATGGTGGTAACATAGTCTTAGAGGATGCTGTATTTATACCGTGACATCCAGTGGCATGAGTGCATGCCTGTTTTGGGAGATTGTGTAAAGATGTACATGAAGGGGGCAATTGAAGGTAGGAAGCTTGCTGGAAAACTCCAGTGCTGGCTACAAACTGTCAGGTTTAGTGCTGTCTGTCTGGGAATGCATTTGCCTTTTTGCTGGAGGAACGTAGTTGTCTGACTACAGAAGAAAGCTGGAAGTGAGCTGGACCTTACACTGTGGAGGATGAGGGGAATGTGGCTTGAGAATGAGCCAGACATATGTTGTAGACATGTGGCACAGCCCTGTGGGTCAGAGGGACAGGCTGCTACCTTGTACTGTGGCTCCCTGCAGTTTTCTGTCCGATCCAGAGTGGATATCTG